TGGAAAAATGTAGAGAAAATCCCTAAACTTTCATTAGGGTAAAATGGTCTTTTCACTCAAAATTAGTTGAACTTGTGGGGAGTGAAAAGAGATAGAATTAATAGAGAATGCATTAAAAATGAGGGCATTATTGTAATTGACTAGGGACATAGATGAAATTTCTAAGAAGAGCAAGGGCAAAATGGGAAAGTGTGGTTATAAATTAAAGTGTTAAGGGTTTGAAACCCTCATTTTCGTTCTTCACCCCCCACACTCCTCCTCCTTTTTCTCTCAAATTTTCATTCACTTTTCCAAGGAATTGAGGGCTTTTGAGTAGATTTTCATAGGGTTTTTCAAGGATCAAAAGGTAAGGAATCAAGCTCTTTATCTATGATTTATTTGTGTAAAGGTTGAGTTCTTATGAAGTTTATGCTTAGGGTTAAAAGAAGATTGGAATCCAACAAGAATAGAGAGCTATGAGAGACTATCAAGCACAAGGTAAGTAAATTCCACTCAAAATCCAACTCAAGCTAAAATTTAAGATTCAAGGGAGTAGAGATTTTTTTAAATATGCATATGTTTTGATTATTGAGAAATTGAGATGAGATTGATGATGAGTTATGCTGTGTTGGGATATATTGAATATGAGAAGTATATGTGATGATTTGATGATGGGTTGAAATTGGAAGAATTGGAGAAATTTTTGTGGAGTGTGTTGCCATGTAGTATGTGATGCTACAAGAGAGTTTTCTCTCACTTTTGGATGGTTTGAGAACTAAATAGAATGATAATTGAATTAGGGTTTGTTTAGCACAATTAATGTTTGATGAAATGCTCAGTGAAAACATGTTACCAAAATGCCCGTCACAGCTGTGACTTTCTGAGTGATATTTGGACATCTTTCGGATTGAACTGGGTTTAGACCAAAACATAAAAGTTGTAGCCCTGTCGCTAAGCTTTAAAACGAGACAAAACCGTAGCAATCTGACGTGTATAACTCAAGTTATGCCTTCTTGAGTGTGACCTGCGCAGAATGACAGTTTGATGCAATATTGCATTTGTGCATTTCAAAAGTGCATTAAGTAAGAAACTTTAGCATGAACCATCCTTATGCATTAATTGGCATTGAGAAGTAGTTTGGAAAGAGTAGAGAACTTTGTGAATGGGTACTCTATAAAAGTAAAGAGAATGAGAAAATCTAAGAATGGGTTGGTGCTTTGGAACTCCAAACGGAAGTTACGAAGAATGGGTTGGTGCTTTGTGAACTCCAACCGGAAGTCACGAAGAGTGGGTTGGTGCTTTGTGAACTCCACCCGCCGTGCCTTGGTAAGATGAGGCCGTGACATTCCAGTGAGAAAGAATGAGAAATTATAAGAAAGAATAGAGGAAGAGAAAGAGTAGAAGTCACGAAGAGTGGGTGGGTGCTTTGTGATCTCCACTAGCCGTGCCTCCAGTAAGATGAGGCGTGACATACAACAGAAAGTTATAGAAAAGAGCTATGTGAAAGAGAACAGAAAGAGAAAATAAATGAGATGAGAAGAATGTAAGGAAAGAATTAAGAGAAAGAGTTACGGGGTAGCGAGTAGAGGATATTACTGAGCATTATTTGTGCTCACCCGTTGTTTTTCTTTGTGTTTGCAGGATCTAGGTGAGGACGCGGTCGGATGGGCATCGGCAAGCGGGAGTAATAGCTACACTGTCCACTGTTTTGATAAATTTACTTATGATGCCTACTTTGTATAAAGAATGATTAAATGTATTAAAAGAAAATTGTGGGCCAATTTACTTTTGCTAATATAAATATATTACTTGATGTATTTCTATATGTATCCTAGTATGAAGCAGTTATTACATTTTTAATACTTCACTAAATGATTAGAAATTAATTACTATAATATAAATTATGATTTATAGTATGATTGTTTAATTAATTAATTAATTGTTGTGTTTTGATTTTGATTGAGGAATTTTAGTGAATTGTGAAGAATTGATTGAATTCAAGTGTTGCATAGAAATTAGAGGATTTATGAGCCATTGGACATAAATGAATGAGTAATCAAAATTGATTAGGGGTTGTATCTGTAAACTTTTAAGGTATTTTTGTCATTTTTTAAACAATAGAGGGGTAATTAATTTTTTACAGGGTATCCGGGAAAGGAACTGGAACTTGCATTTTAGGTTCCAGTTCCTGAATTTAAAAACCGTTCCGGTTCTGATTCTCTCGAAAAATGTTGATACCCAGAATCGCTCACCCCTACAAACTAGGCACAACTACTACCTCATTAATTTGGTTAACTTAATATTCTGAAACAAAAAAAAAAAAAAAAAACTCGAAGGTTTCTTACTCATGGCAACTACAAGGGAATATATAGATCGACAAATTTTGAAAATTACTGTGAGTATTTTGACAAACTAGCAGCAGTACTGTTAGATTGCAGGTATGTGGGGTACAAACTCTCAAATGTTGCCTCATATCAAATGGCAGGAAGAATCATCTGTTAGATAAGTCTGGTTTTCCTCTCCATGTGGGTATGTATTCTGTCAAAATCCTCGATTTGGTATGGGCTCTTGAGCTTATAATGATACCTATAAAATCGTGTGGCAGGACACCAATACAAGGGAGTGGCCGTGTATACTCTTTCCGGGCAAGGAGTCTTGTATAATTACAAGTGGGTTCGGCGACGGTCCCATTCCAAGGTGAGATTTGAAGCACTAAAGTTAAAGGTTAAGGCTTCTTTACCATCAAGTTCCATTGCTGTATTTTATTCAAAACCCTGTTATTGTTGAACATGGCTCGGTGATACTATAATAGTTGTTGTAAGGGAAATCTGAGAGGTAATTCCTTATTAGAAGAGACGATATTTAGATTGGTTCAATTTGGAAGGAAGTATTCAGATTGATTTAGACTCCAACTAAGGTAGCGAAGATCATGCAACTTCTTAATTCTAAGTATCTGATCTTATCTAAACTCTATTATGTAAATGGATGCTATTAAACCTATCATAACTTGTTTTATAGGGGATTGGGCAATTATTAGAAAAAGATTCATCATTTGTAATTCTCATTGAATAAGAGAAACAGTAGACGTAGGCTTAAGATTAGACTGTCTAACCACTTTAAAAATTGTCTCTGTCATACTCATATTTTCTCTTTTAATTATTCAATTGATGATTTTCATTAAATCACGCACACATTCATTCCGGTTTCGACAGGGTCAATCAGAATTCTCAATTGGTGAGATTTCTGCATCAACAGTAGTTTCCATAAAAAATTTTACCGTTTAGACTTTATCAGAAACTGAAAAGAGAAAACCATTTTAGGTTAGATATTGAAAATTAAATATCTAAAGAGTATGCCTCTTCTTCTTCTTTTTTTTTTTTTTTCCTTTTATTGCTTTAAACAAAATAACCTTGATCCCTTGTGTAGTTTTGAGTTACAGTTGCTTCCTTAATATGCTTACTTTGAGTTGTATGACATATAGTTTGAGTTATTGTATATTTGAGTTTAAGATCTGATTTGGTTCATTTGTTTGATATATTTAATTGATATCTTATACATTTAATAACTAAACAAATGAAATGCATCATAGTCAATCAACACCGTATTGTTATGTCGAGTGTGTTTATTGGCATTGCATGTTATTTCTATTTTATTGTGTTTTTTTGCAATTTACATTTTGTATGTAATATATATTTCAATTATTTTTAGTACTGCTTTAACTATTCCTATCTTTCCACTGAAAAAAAAAAAAATTCTTTAACTCCACCGTCTCTTCAAGAGCATGCCATTCCAATTATCAATATCAAATTCCCATGGTGGCGGTGGTCGATCCATAACCGGCAGGCTGATGCAGATGGTAAACCTGTGGATTCAACTCCTTCCAACCGGACCGGTAATGCCACAGCAATGTGATATCGAAGCCCGAGGGGCTGTATCAACCGCAATAATTCTTTCCACCAAGCAAAAATGCTAACTCTGAAGAGAATCATCTGGTACTAAATCTGGGTTTTCCTCCTTCCAGCAGGAGCCAAACTCCACCTCGTGATGATGATGGAAAGAAGGAAACTCCATCAAAAATGATAATAATGGGGTAAACAAAACTCCACCGAATGGTGACCATAAAGGTAAGGACGAACTGGAAAAGGCCCTTATGTTGGGAGGTAAATCATTCCATTGCGGCTGAGTTTGGGCCAAGAACTCCGACATTAAAATGTCAAGTGAAGCTAAAGCCTTTGGTATTCTTTTAGCTTGCGTTGTTCTCAGCTCGTCTCTTTTTCTATTTATTTCTATCTGGGTATGAACGACTTGCGCAAGTTGCATGGGTTATGAGGGCAATTGGCGTGTTGCAATGGCGTTCGCCCTTGTGACCGCCATGGGCTCCACTGCCAACGAGCTGATGATTTGGGGCACTTTCGGGGTTTGCGCTCTAAGCGCACTAGCTATCGTTTGCTTTGCATTGAAATAGTAATCGAGCTGATGGAATGAAATATTATTAACTATTTTCTGATGTTTTTGGAATTGTGTAAAAATAACGATGTGAGTATTATTTGTGTCATTGTTTTGTAGTTTGTAACTATATAGGTCCAAAACACGATAATACAAACTGGGATTAGTTCTTTGACACAGAGATTATTTTCGCAGGCTTGGTATGTCGGCAAAACATCAAAACTTGAGATATCATCTTCTAAGTCTTATGAGTTATGATTCAATTTTCTTCAATGAGTTAACCTAATTAATGAGGTTGTAGTTGGTTTTAAAATAATATTTTAAATATTTTCATATTTCGAATTATATATTTCTATATTGCTTGTTAGAGATTTTGAAGATTTTAGAATGTTGCATTTACATTTTTTAAAGTTCTTTATGGGAAAATTTAAAATTTAAAATTTAACATATTTTTTAATATTTTAATCCGTCCAAAGCGGACATATCCGAACTATCGATCTAGATCATAAAACGACATAGTTTCATACCCTTGTGGAACCAACTAGGCGCAACTACGACCTCATTAATTAGGTTAACTCAATATTCTGAAACCAAAAAACTAGTAGGTTTCTTACTCATGGCAACTGCAAGGGAATATATAGATCGACAAATTTCAAAAATTACTGTGGAGTATTTTGACAAATTGGCAGCAGTACTGTTAGATTGCAGGTATGTATGTCTTCCCAAAATCCCGAATTGGTACAGACTCTCAAATGTTGCCTCATAAATCAAATCTAATGTTGCCTCATAAATCAAATGGCAGGAAGCATATTCTGTTAGATAAGTCTGCGTTTTCCTCTTCACGTGGGTATGTATTCTTGATCAAAATCCTCGATTTGGTATGGGCTCTCGAGCTTATAATGATACCTCATAAAATCGTATGGCAGGATCACCAATACAAGCGAGTGGCCTTGTATACTCTTTCCGGGTGAGGAGTCTTGTATAATTACAGGTGGGTTCGGCGACGATGCCATTCCAAGGCTGAGATTTGAAGCACCTAAAGTTAAAGGTTAAGGCTTCTTTACCATCAAGTTCCATTACTCCTATTTTATTTAAACACCTGTTTATTTGTTTGAACATGGCTTGGTGATACTCTAGTAGTTTCCATGAAAATTTTTACAGTTTAGATTTTATCACAAACTGAAAAAGAGAAACCATTGTAGGTTAGATATTGAATATTAAATATCTAATAAGAGTATGCTTCTTCTTCCTTCTTCTTCTTCTTTTTTTTTTTTTTCTTTTTATTGCATCTTTAAACAAAATAACCTTGATTCCCTTGTGTAGTTTTTGAGTTACTTAGTTTGTTGTATGACATATAGATTTGAGTTATTGTATATTTGAGTTTAAGATCTGATTTGGTTCATTTGTTTGATATTAATTTAATGGATATCTTATACATTTAATAACTAAACAAGTGATAATGCATCATAGATCAATCAACACCATATTGATTATGTCGTGTATTTTTTATTGGCATTGCATGTTTATTTCTTATTTTATTGTGTCTTTTTGCAATTTACCTTTTTGTATGTAATATTATATATTTTCAATTTATTTTTAGTACTGCTTTAACTATTCCTATCTTTCCACTGAAAAAAAAAAAAAAATTCTTTTAACTCCAGCGTCTCTTCAAGAGCATGCCATTCCAATTCAATATCAAACTTCCCGTGGTGGCGGTGGTCAGATCCATAACCGGCAGGCTGATGCAGATGGTAAACCTGTGGATTCAACTCCTTCCAACCGGACCGGTAATGCACCAGCAATGTTTGATATCGAAGCCAGAGGGGCTGTCTCAACCGCAGTAAATTCTTCTCCACCAAGCAAAACTGTTAATTCTGAAGAAGAATCATCTGATACTGAATATGGATTTTCCTCCTTTCCGGCAGGGAGCCAAACTCCACCTCGTGATAATGATGGAAAGAAGGAAACTCCATCAAAAAATGATAATAATAATGGGGTAAACAAAACTCCACCAAATGGTGACCATAAAGGTAAGGACGAACTGGAAAAGGCCATTATGTTGGGAGGTCAAATCATTTCCATTGCGGCTGCAGTTTGGGCCAAGAACTCCGACATAAAAATGTCAAGTGAAGCTAAATGCCTTTGGTATTTTCTTTTAGCTTGCGTTGTTCTCAGCCTTGTCTCTTTTTTCTATAGTTTATTTCTATCTGGGTATGAACGAATTCGCAAAGTTGCATGGGTTATGAGGGCAATTGGCATTGTTGCAACGGCATTGGCCCTTGTGACCGCCATTGGGCTCCACTTGCCCAACGAGCTGATGATTTGGGGCACTTTCGGGGTTTGCGCTCTAAGCGCACTAGCTATCATTTGCTTTGCATTGACATACTAATCGAGCTGATGGAATGAAATATTAGTAACTATTTTCTGATGTTTTGGGATTGTGTAAAATAACGTTTTGAGTATTTTTTTGTTTCTCATATTTCATGTGTGTTTGCTATAATTCGTGTTTCTCAAAATTACGATGCACGTAAAGTTGTATAGATGCTATAATCCTGATAAATAGGGGTGCATGTAGGATTGTGAGCATGGTTGGTCTCACTCTGTTGACAAATGGGTCCAGCAGCTGCAATTCTTCATCGCCTAACAATGAAATCCTCAAGCAGTCTGCTGCAACTTGCAATGCAATTGGGTTTCTTTGCTGCTTCTGTGGCATCTTGGTCTGTGGCCAAAGAGCTGGCCATGCTGCAAGAATGATCACAGGTTGTGGATATATTACCACAGCCTATGGATTCTTAGCGATCATGGCCACATTTTGAGAGAGGANCTACCTATTTGATATATTGTGTCTTTTTTGACGGGTGGTATTTTCCAGTTATGTAAGTGTTGATCTATTTTTGCCATATTAATCTCTTGAGTGTTATAGATTTCATTAATTCTTGATTATTATTTGTATTTTGTTGTTGATTATTAATTCTAATAGCGTTACTGCTACTACTATCATCTCGTTTACTGCTACTTCCTAATCTCCTTAAGAAATTAGACATCTCTAAAATAATTCTAACCTAAAAGTTCCAGTTTCTTTCCTAGATCACGGGACCACCAAGGTAAACAAAATATGACTCTGATACCATATAAAGCAGGATCGTTAGAACAATGTATGTAAATTTTTTACATCTTTTTCAAAAATAAATTTTGATGCAGAAGAATCTGTTCGGATCAAAAATCTTTTGTTAATCAACACAAAGTGAAATTACTAATCTTTGTGTTCTGATACCATGTTTTGTGCGGTTTTAATTCCCAAAAACAATGTTTTAAGTTTTCAACAACTTCACCAACTTTAGGAAATTCAACATCAACTTTAACATCAACTTCAACACCCCTTTATTCACAAAAATATGTTAAACCATTTTTTGAACCCTTTGACATTCCAAAAGAGGAAATTATTAAATTTAATAATCACAACACTATTCTAGAAAATATTAGTAAAAAACTTAGCGAATTATCATCCTCTAAATCAAACATANCATTTGCTTTGCATTGAAATAGTAATCGAGCTGATGGAATGAAATATTAGTAACTATTTTCTGATGTTTTGGGATTGTGTAAAATAACGTTTTGAGTATTTTTTTGTTTCTCATATTTCATGTGTGTTTGCTATAATTCGTGTTTCTCAAAATTACGATGCACGTAAAGTTGTATAGATGCTATAATCCTGATAAATAGGGGTGCATGTAGGATTGTGAGCATGGTTGGTCTCACTCTGTTGACAAATGGGTCCAGCAGCTGCAATTCTTCATCGCCTAACAATGAAATCCTCAAGCAGTCTGCTGCAACTTGCAATGCAATTGGGTTTCTTTGCTGCTTCTGTGGCATCTTGGTCTGTGGCCAAAGAGCTGGCCATGCTGCAAGAATGATCACAGGTTGTGGATATATTACCACAGCCTATGGATTCTTAGCGATCATGGCCACATTTTGAGAGAGGATCTTAAATTATCATTCACTGCTGTTACTTCTATATGTCTATTTACCTGTCTTCGTTATAATGAAATAAGCTTTTAAATTTGAAATTTAGAGGTTCTTTTATACTTATCCATAGTTCCATACCTATCATAGATTTTGATGTAATAACAAAAGTCTCATTACCTCTAGTGAGCCCTTTTGCAAAGATTGTAACACTAACATTAACTTCTAGATCTAAGAGGGCTTACTCTGATTTGGAAGATCACAATATTTAGATCGAACTAGGTTTACACAATGAAATAATCAGCAGAGGGACTAATATTATACATCCATTAATAAGACAGATTCAATAATTATATTTATTTCTGTCACTGGATTTTGGAATCCTTTATAATCTAAGATTTCCTAACATCCTAACTAACATCCTAATTAACTTGATCCAGTGAAGCCACAGAAAAAAGATAAGAAAAGAGCAGGATTAGGAGAAAAGGCTCATGCGACCAATACAATGGTCTTATGGCCTAATATTGCTCCAGCAGAAAGGGTAAATGCATTGATTTTTGTTTCAGGAAATGATTTAACTTTCATTATACTTCTCAGATACAGAAAAACTACAACAGAATCAGGGATTTCTAGTATCTAATGAAGCACATGATGGGAGAATTCTGCGTCAATGGCTAGGTGTCTCTCACTTCACGTACATTTGTTCCATTTCATTAAGCGGTCGGCTAGACCCATCGAGCATGCTAACAAACTTCCAGCCCCCCACCCCCTCCACACTTGCCTCGTGGTCCCATTTTCCCCACAGTGAATTGCCAAAAGGACAGAGCCTGCTATATTTGTAGAATGAATAATACTACACTTATATCACTCTTTTATACAATTTTCATTACATTATGATATGACATATGTCATAACCACACAAATTTTTAATTATTTTGAATTTTTAAAATTGTAATAGAATTTGTGTGATTGTGGCATATGTCATATTATGATATAATAAAAATGGTGTAAAAAAGTGGTGTAAGTGTAGCATTACTCTTTGTGCGTATTTCACCTTCCGTGCCAACTGTATAAGGACAAAACGACATCATATTAGGGTACAAAAAAGGACACCAAATGTGCATACAGTCAATCAGCAGCACACTGAGTGAGCAAAATAGAGAAGAAAAACATAAGGACCCATGCAAGGCTTACCACAATAGCAAACTTGCGTTCTATTTATTTCTCTTCATAACTTAACTAAAATGATACCTTTCAAGAAGGGGAAGGAGATGGGGGAAAGAAAAAAATAAAGCTTGTGTCACCTAATTACCGCTCTCAAAGGGTCTCCTATCTCCAAACCACTCTACAACTCATAAATTTCTTCGAGACTTCATCTGCCATCTTCAACCTATCAGTTCATGAAATCATCATACCATTCTACCTACTAAATAAACTTCATGCCCTAATCATCAGATATTTGGTTATTTGACAATGACAGGGCAGAACATTGGATAAATGTCTACAAGCAAAACGAAAAAGGGAAAAACTATCAAGTTATCTGTTTAAAGTGAAACAGGACACTCAAAATTCAGGAATCATAATTTGTAGACAGATCTGCCTCCACCAGCAAATAGTAGATGAAATAGGAGTCTCTATTGTACTAACAGCCTCACCCCAGCAATCCAATTCAAATATTGCCAAATTAAATCTGTCATCAGTTTATAAATATAAAAATTAATTGTCTCAGAACTGTGGATGCAAGTGCTTTTGTGTTATGTAGAGAGAAAGAGACTGAAAAATAACAATATTCCAACAACAAAATCGGTACTCATTTTCCCCCTTTTGGATAGGAAACAGAACAACAGTAGTTTATCTCAATAACTGAAATGAAAAGCCAACGTTATATACATAAAGCTAATTATCATTTCCTTGTCTCAAGGCTAAGGCTAGGAGGACTTTTGTTGCTCATTCTCTGACAAATTCTTGATATAGCATTTCATCCTCTTTCCGGGAGATCTCATAATGAACTACATCCAGGTCTTTGATAGTACCATCCCAAGCCTCTGGCATAACCTTAAAGTAAGGATTGTATGGAAGGGATGCCACACGGAATTCCTGGTCATGGCAGTAAAAAGTAAAAAGAAAAAATACCAGGAAATATAAGGTCATTATTTTAGAGGCAAATCAGCCAATCTTTAGCTAATTCAATGTTTCTAGTTATGGCTTACAGTATATCAACCAGAGACAATGTTCTATTTGTAATTGCATCATTGACACAATTTTTTTTTTTTTTCGGGACAACTTTATTCTTTTACATCAGAGCTTATCTAAGCACATGAATGTAAGACCACGTGTAACTAGAGCACAAGAGCATTTTGGTGATTTAATTAATATTGACATTCCTATTCCTCCATGGTATGGAATATCTATTTCATGTCAACAATACAATAAACATGAAAAACGCTATCATCAACATGACCAGCAACACACAAAGCCACACCAGCTCCAACTTAAGAGGACCAAAAACCTTTAAGCACTAACCCTACCACAGCTAACCAAATGTTGTTTTGCTCATTGTCTATTATGGCCACCAAGATTACTACCATTAGCCACTTACAAAATATTGTTTTGATCATTGTCCATCATCGCCACCATCATGATTACTAGCTGTATACTTCTATCAACAGAAGTAATAAACCACAACCGTGACAGTGAACATCTGCCCGCAAAGCACCACCACAGCTAGGGTTTTGACTAACAGTTTGTAACACATTTTCTTAATACCTTCAATGGATTATCACCACATTCTGTTTCACAAAAGAATGTCAATGCACTTTTAAATTACATATATACTAACACTATCACATACATGCGTGCACCAGTTTCAGTTTTCTTTTAGACATATCCATATCAGGTTAACCAAAGAAAACTGCATTTGTGATTGAGATATTTCCAAGGGTAGCTTTTGCTCAGAAGCATTGCAAGATATAATACAGCTAAGTAAAATTTGTCCAAAGTAAAAACTTTTAAATGATCTGAATCAATATTATATGAGAGAGAATTCTCCTTGTGACATCAAATAGCTCCCCTACTTTCACCAGACCTGACATACCAACTCCCACTATGATACATTCTCACCTTAGGGATTCTACAGGCCACAAGGCAATTACATACACAGCTAACCATTGAAACAGGAGAAATATTGCATATAGTATCTCCAAAGTACATGGCTTAAATAAAATCTTTAGGTATTTGATCAGCCTCACAAGTTAAAATTTCTATGCCTGAGTAAAATAACCTCGAAGTAGTTATTAAGAAGAATCTACTTATGAATCATAGTCATTCAAATTGCCACTATATCCTCTAATCATGCTTTCTGTAAACAACTACATTATAAAACATAATGTAAGTACTGACAATCACCAACATCAAGCCAAAAAGCCAAATCAGAATGATAAAAGACATTAAATATTAAAAATAAAAAATGATCAGATACAAAATCTCACTCCGGGCAGGTGTCAACCAGAAGCTCAACAGAT